CCACACGGGTCACGCCATGCTCGCCAAGGCCGCTGTAGGCTTGGCGGCTAGGCGGCCAGGCTCGGCGCGACCAGACTCTTCCTTGCATGGCTCTCCTATTGGGGCCTCGTTGCCTCGTCTCTTCGGCGGGGCGGGGCGGGGCGGGGCGGGGCGGGGCGGCCTTAATGGCATGTCCACTGTATGAATGGCGGCCGCCTTGACGACGCCGACACTACGATGACGGCGTGGTGCGTGTGACCGCGCGAGCGCGCTCTGACTCATGCATTTCTTTTCTTTGGCGGAGAGATAAAAAGTCCCACAGAGAAATTGGTGACGAACGGCAAGCAAAAAAAGGGCCAAGGCTGCGCCTTGCCGCGCCTTGCCGCGCCGCGCGCGGCCCAGTGTAAGTACTTAGCGCGTCGTGACGGAGCGAGCCTCCAGCAGCCTCGGCGAGGTGGCGCTGCAGGTCCGCCTGTCTGCCTGCCGTTTGGGCCGAGTCGATTATTAGAACGAGCACTCGTGCATGTGGCCGCAGCGCTGTGGAACCGCGGGGGGGCGTGGCGGGGCGGGGCGGGCGGGCGGGGCGGGGCGGGGCGGGGCGGGCGGCAGGTGCCGGGGCCGCGGGGCGATATGATGTCTGCTCCGGTTGTTGATTGGCTTGCCGACGGCGCTGCGCTGCGAGCACTGTAGGTACGCGCCGTGCCGCCGTGCCGCCTCACCGCGCGCCCTGCAGCCCGAAGGCAGGCTGTTCAGGCCCAGGCTCCAGGACGCCAAGACTGCAGTGCCGGGGCCCCCGGCCCGGGGGAGTCCCCGCGGGGACGGGAGCATCGATTTTCCGGACAGTGGATCGTGCAGCACCTGACTCCACGCCTGGCGGTCGGCGTCGGAGGAACCAGAGGAACCACTGCGGGGCGGCCAAGGCGGGGCGATCGGAGGGGCCTATCGCTCCCCCGGCCTGGGCCAGGCCCTGCTCGGCCATGATTAGAAGTCGGGCGGGGCGCGGAGCGCGGGGCTCGCCGGCAGGGAGGCGGCAATTGGATTTTTGGCAGGGCGGGGCCTCGGCGGCGGTGCGGCGGGGCCCTGGGATGCGTGCCGACTAACAAGGTTAGGGTCGCCCTGGAGACCGGGGGGGGTGCCCTGTCGCTCCGCCTGGAGTGCCTGGAGAACCTGCTGGAGAGGGGCCGGAGAGGGTGCCGAGTCAGACTCTGGAGGGCTTGCTGCAGAGAGAGCCTGGCGCTGGGGAATGTCGAAGACGCGTCGTTGTATCGCTGTCTGGCGTGTCGCGGACATGACGCGTATTTTGACGCCTCCGCGGTGCCGTTGGTCGCGAGGCTGCGCGGAGCTGCGCGAGGCTCTATTGGCGGCCGGCGAGGTGAAGCGCGCCAGGGCCGGGCCGGCCACGCCACGCCAGGCCTGTCCCAACGCGATGCTTTCCTTCCACCCCCGCCCACGTCTTTGCAGGCTTCCGCCACGCCAACACCGCCTCACCGCGAGCACGGCGTCGGCAGACCTGTAAGGGGCTCGGGGCACGGCAGCCCCACCCCCGGCCGGCCCGGCCCGGCGCCGCCCCGCCCCGGGTCACGTGCTGGCTGGGGGCATGGGCGTGGCTCTCCGGCCCAGGCAGCCCAGGCCCAAGGGTAGCCGTCCGCGGGACGAGCGGGCAGCGGGCGTGACGTCCCGGCCTGGCGGCGCCGTCGTCGAGGCCGGCGTCGCCCTTGGCGCGGCGCCTGCGGGTGGCGGTCGCTTTGCGCCACAGTCACGGCCTCCTCGTTGGCGGCGGCGTGACGGGCCTGCACTCGGCCCGAGAGTGATCGACTGGCTGTCGGGTCGGCCCTCCGTCCCCGCCGGGCCTGCCGGGCCTGCCGGGCCTGCCGCCCGGAGTGCGTTCGTCGGGCGGGTCGCGGTGGCGACGACGGCGCTGACGGCGGCCGTCGGGACGGCGCACGGCGCAGGGAAACTGGATCAAAAGTAACGACCCGGAACGGACTGTGCGGAGCGTGGAGCGCGGCGCGGAGGCTGGGCCGGAACAGAGTAGAACAGAGCAGCGCGACGAGACGGGACGCGGCGGGTCGACGTCCTGCCCTGCCCTGCCGCCGGGCCGGACCAGCGCAGCGAAGCACCGCGCGGCACCGCGACGACGACGCCTCCGCGTCCTGCCGTGGCCGTTGATAAAAAACGGCAAGCGAGGCGAGATGACGAGCAGAGGCCGTGCCAGCGCCACAGCGCCAGCCGATGCCGATAGCGACGCCTTCCGGCCATCGCCTTGGCCATCGCCATTGTCTTGCGCGCCAGCGCGCCGCGGTGTAGTGGTGTAGTGGCACGCCGCGGCCAGCCGACGGCCAGCCGACCAGTAGGCGTGCATTTCTCCGGCGTGTCCTGGAAAGCAAAGCGCCTCTGTGTCCGTCCGTCCGTCTGTCTGTCCGTCTGCCGCGTGTTAGCTTTGGCGCGCAGTGTGGCGCCGTGGTGTTGGAGGCCGATCGGGCGAGGCACCGTGCCGGTAGGCAACCAGCCGACACATGTGCGCGACGGGCCCGCCTGCCGCGGCCCCGCGCCGCGACGCGCACTCGCACTCGCAGTCTGATGTGTCTTGCTCGGCCCGGCCCGCGAAACCGCAGAAATAGACTGCACGGCGCTGCCGCGCTGGCCGGCCGCGGGCCACGGCGGGCCGCGGCTCCGCAGCTGTCAACCCCGATGACACGCCGGCGTGCCGCGTGCCCCGCTGCCCCGCTGCCGCACTCGCTAATTGCTTAATTGCGCGACCGGGGCAAACACACAATGGCGGTGGGACGCTGATTTTAATTTCATGTTTGCCAGTTTATATTTTTTTGCCGCGGTGTCATTTTTGTTCGGTGTGTGGGATCGCGCCCCGAGTTGGTCCCGTTCCAAGGCGGCGGTGTGTCGGCCTGCTCTCGGCGCGGTGATCGCGCTATTAACAGTGTTGTCGGGGCCCGGCTTGTCGTAGAGCTACTCCTCGCGGGCTTATGTGTTTTGATCGGATGAAAACAAACGGCTGGGGCGGGACTCGAACCCGGGCCCGCGTGTCCCGCGCAGTGTACGCGGTGCATATGGCTTCATGCATGCGTGCGGCGCGGCGGCGCGGCGGGGGGCAGACTTTGGACGAGCCCGTCGATGCGATGGGGGTCTTGCAGGCCGCCGGTCCCGCCGGCCCCGCCGGCCCATATGGGACGAGTGTAAAACGAAATTGCAAAAATATTCCTCGCCTCGCCGGCGTCGTCGGCTCGCCCCCACCTGCCTGCCCCGCACCACACTGTGTGCACCGGTGTGTCGATCGCTTCATTCCATATTCGCCGAGCCCAACAACAAGAGCAAGGGAGTCAGTTGGCGTTGTTGTTGTTGTTGCTGCCGCCGCCGCCAAGGTGTGCGTGTAGAGTGCGCGGTGAGGCCTGCGTCCCTGCGTTGGCGAGGGGACAGCTGTGCTTGTCCGTCGGCCGGGCCGCGCCGTGCCGCGCCTGGTCGCGACGCTCCTCGCAGGCACGGCGCGGGACGTTATCACTTTCTCTGGAACCCGTTTCCCCCGTGGCAGCAGTGCGCTGAGTTAGAGCCGCATGCGTGTGCCGCCGTGCCGGTGCGGCGTGCCTCCTTCCTGTGGGGCGGCGTCGCGAAGCCTTCGGCGGGGCCGGCGGCGGGGGGGAGTCATCATCGGGGCAATGGACGAAAACGTTAATGGCCGAATTAAAATTTTGCGGTCGTTTGTGCGGTTTTAAGGCCTCGTTTAGGCGGCCGCAGAGGGCGGTGCGCGCGGCCGGGAAGGGAGAGGAGGAGGGGGGGGCAATCTTAAAGGGCGACCGCCGCGCGGCCGGCCGGCACTTTGCACACACACACACACACACGCACGCAGAGGGGCCGCGAGAGGCTTTACTTTACGGTGGGAGCGGTCTCGGTGGACATCCGTATCCGGCGGGCTCGTCGACGGCGTCCCCCCTCCCCCCTCCCCCTCGCCGGATGCGCCTCGCGGCGGTGCGGCGGTGCCCTGCGAAAGGACGGCCGGCCGGCCGGCTCGGTCGGGCGGTCGGGCTGGGCCGCGCTTGGCCCGCAGCGCGTTGTGTCCGATGTCCGCCGAGCGCCACGATACCGCACTAGTAAATAAAGCTGCCCGTCGTCGCGCCAACTGCCGCGTGCTTTCCACTCAAATAACGTTCTACCCCCTCCCCCTCCCTTCGCTCCTCTGCCATTGTTTTTCCAATCGCACATCACGCTTTGGGCGCGTGCCAATACCCACGGACGTGCTTTGTGTGTGTGTGTGTGTGTGTGTGTGTGTGTGTGTGTGTGTGTGTGTGTGTGTGTGTTTGCGTGTTTGCGTGCGCGCACGATTCACTCTCCACTTCGACTGTATGTGTGTGGTGTGTGCGCGCGCCGAAGGTTCGTCCCTCCCCGTTTGAATGCTAATTTATTATTTGCCCCCTTCCTGGTTGGTTCCTATCTATTCTTCCTTCTTCGTTTTTTTTTTATTTTTCGCGTGCTTGCGCGTCGAGGCGTCGAGGGAGGAGGCACGAGGGACGCCCCTCTGGCCTTTGGCGGCCTTTGGCGGCCTTTGGCACACTTTGCCCTCTGTCGGCTTGCGGTCGTGCGGGACGGACGACGGACACGGCACACAGTCCGCAAATCCGCGCTCATTAACCTGGTGCGGTATATGTGGCACTGTGTGGCGGGTGACGCGTCGAGGTGTGTGTGTGTGTGTGTGCGCGTGTGTGTGTGTGTGTGTGTGTGTGTGTGTGTGTGTGTGTGTGTGTGTGAGCGCGCGCGCGCCGTGGGAGGACAGTGTCGACGACGCGGAAAGCTTGGCGCCATTATCCACGCCACTCACTCACTGGTCCGTTCGTGCCCACAGCAACGCACGTGGACGAAAGGGGGAGAAAAATGATTGAAATTTTCAAGGTTTTCATCTGTGTAGTACTTCCTCCCCTTCCTTTTCTGCTAGGTACGCGGGGACTCCTGGCTCGTTGGTCTTGACGTCTCTTCACTTCTCTTGTCAGAGCAATGCCTGTGGTGGTGTGTTGTAGGGAGGGACGCTGTGAGGCCTCTGTTTGAGGCGGGCCAAGCGGGCCAGCGCCACGCCAGGCGCCATGCGGCGAGTCCTCAGTGGCTGTCAGGCCAGCCTCGGCTTGGACCTGGACTGGAACTGCACCCACTGCGTGGTTAGTCCGGCCCGACCAACCAAGACCAACCAAGCTGTTTTAGATGTTGATGGATTTTCTGTTGCTGCGCTGCTGCGCTGACACTGCTGCCGTGCCGCTATGTTTATTTTATTTTTATGAGTCAAATGTCTTTCTATACTTTACTGTTTTCTTCTATGACTTTTCATTTCTCTATTTCCTTTTTCTTTTATGGCAAGAGGCTGCTGCTCCCCCTGCAATGTTGTGCAATGGTTTCTGTCTGCCCCTATTGTCTTTAGTCTAGTTGTGAAGCATTCTAGTTGTTTCTTTTTTGATAATTAAAAAATCTGGTACTTCAAACGTACTTTTATTTTCTGGCTCTTAGTAAGTAGTAGTTTGATGCAAACACTCCTAGAATATTTTTAATTTTCATCTTGCATGGAAGCATTTGTTCTGTTTTCTTTCTGTCAAAGAGGACAGCACTTTTTCAGTAATGACCCTGCATTGTCGTTTGTATGGCTTAGGTGGGTGTCTAACTGCATTCATCCAAGCTCAATTGTGCACTATTCGAACCAAGGTCTCTCATCATGGCTACACTTCTGCTTGCAGCTGTCAAACATTTGTCATGATATACCATAGAAAATATCTCAAATCTGAGCAATTTAAATTTTTTTCATTTTGGTTTTAAGAAATTTTTAAGAAAGTTTTAAGAAATCCTTTTAACAAATTGTTTTGAATTGTGTTTCAGAGGGTGCCCGGCGAGGCTGCTGACATGGACAGTGCCCGGAGCAGCATCCGCATCCACCACCCGCAACATGCCCCCCTCGGCATTGGCAAGGTGGGGTCCAACTCGCCCCCCATCATAGCCAAGGCCACGGAGGGACATTCCCCACGCTTCCCCAAATTGGACGAGTGCGCCCATTTTCATTATGAGCATGTAGAACTGGGTCTAATACAAGTAAGTTTCCTTTCTGTAATTTTGTTTGTTGTTATTTTTCAAATTTGAACTGAAATATTTTACTGTATTTAACACTTTTATTCCCTCTATTTCCAGATTACTATCATTAATGATCAAGACTTAAGTTTGGGTAGTCGAATGCATTCGGAGGATGCCGAAAATCAATCATACACGGTCCAGGTTGCATCCCAAGGCAAAAGCTGGCTTTTGCGACGAACATTTCAAAATTTTCGCTCACTAGACTCTCAACTTCACCGCTGCATCTACGACAGAAAATTCTCAGCCTTGCCTGAACTACCTCCGGAAGAAAACCTGTCAATACCACAAGGCCAGGACCATGAGGTTTGTGAAGTTTGGGAGTGCTTTTGTTTAAAAAATGATAACTTTGAGTGAATTATTATTAACGCATAGTTTATCTTGCAGGAAGCTGTTCAGAACCTGCTCTCCGACTACCTGAACCGCTTCTCCCTGATCGCGGGCAACCTCATCAACTGCGGGCCCGTGCTGAGCTGGTTCGAGCTCGACAACCGCGGCCGCCGGCTGCTGGTGCCGGACAATGACTCCTGCCCCATCAACACCCCCGCCGTGGCGGCCGCCTACTCCGTCAAGAGGTACTCGGCGCAGGCCCAGGACGAGATCTCGTTCGAGGTCGGCGACATGATCTCGGTCATCGACATGCCGCCCCCCGAGGAGAGCGTGTGGTGGCGCGGCAAGCGCGGCTTCGAAGTGGGCTTCTTCCCCTCGGACTGCGTCGCCCTCATTGGCGACAAGGTGCCCAGGAACTTGCAACTGTCTGCCGGGGCCAGCGCCCCCAACTCGCCTAGGGAGGTAAGCATTGGGTGTCATGTCGCAGTTATGGTGGACTCAACACCTGGCAAGCCCAGGGTGATGCATGGGACTAACACATGTGATTGATTCGTTTTCAGATGATGTTGGCTTGTCAACCAAGTAAACCTGTCCTGCGCAAGCATGGAAAGCTCATTTCATTTTTCCGATCATTCATTTTGTCACGACCATCTCGACGGCGCCTCAAGCAGTCTGGTATTTTGAAAGAGCGCGTTTTTGGTTGTGATCTAGGGGAGCATTTACTTAACTCAGGCCATGACATACCTATGGTACTCAAGTGCTGCTCAGAGTTTATTGAAACTCATGGCATTGTGGATGGAATATACCGTCTATCTGGCGTCACCTCCAACATACAAAAATTGCGAAATGCATTTGATGAAGATAGAGTGCCTGGATTGTATGAAGATGAGGCAATACTGCAGGATATTCACTCTGTTGCATCACTTCTCAAAATGTACTTCAGAGAATTGCCAAACCCCCTTTGTACGTATCAGTTATACCATCAATTTGTGGGAGCTGTCCAGAAAGATGGCAGCACTCGTGAAGGCCCTGACGAGAATAGAGATAGTACACGCCTGATGCTCATGCGTGATGCTGTTCAAAAGCTACCACCCCCTCACTACAGGTATGGTTTTGTTCAGTCATTTGTATGCTTTCCACTGTTCTTAATTTTTATCTATGATTAATAATTTTATTGTCATTGCAGAACACTTCAATATCTGGTTAAACATCTGTCACGTGTGGCTGAGCATGGGCATCAAACTGGAATGACTCCAAGAAATGTTGCTATTGTGTGGGCACCAAATCTGCTCCGCTGCAAAGCTCTAGAAGTGGGTGGAGTGGCAGCATTGCAGGGAGTTGGAGTTCAAGCAGTTGTTACTGAGTTTTTAATTTGCTATGCAGATCTTATTTTCTGTGATAGACTTCCTGCCTTAAGTATTCCTGTTCAGCAAGGTAGGGAAGGCAATTGTGACAATGTTCATGATTTCTGTTAAATTCTTCTGTTTTGATATGTGGTTATTAAAATTTTTATTATTTTTTGATAGCTACACCAAAGCGATGCCGACCTAAATCTTTGGCCATATCCACTCCAACCAAGCTGTTGTCTTTGGAGGAAGCACGGACACGTGCATTACTGTCAGCAGCTGGGAAAATTGATCAAGAATACATTGAAGTTGGTGGTGGGCCATCTAGCCTACCCGCTAAATATCACACTGTTATCGATTTACCTAGTCGCAAACGTGCTGGATCCAAACGCTCTCCTCTTGGCTGGAAATCATTCTTTAGTAAAGCTGGGCGAAGCAGCAGTGGGGCTAGCACCCATTCAAGCCGTAAGGCTCAAGAACAACAGCAACAAATGAAGCCTCTGCGGAAAACGTCTACACCTTCAGTAATCAATTTTGGCATAGAAAAGGCTGTTACTGAGTCAGATGTTGCTGTTGGTCGCAGACGACTGCGACCTGTGAAAAGTGCAGAGAGTCTTGCATCTGGCAACAATTCCAGTCGAAATTCTACTGCCTTGAGCCACGGATCGGAAGCTGCTGGACCTAGCTGTTTAACCCCAGGAGCTGGGAGTCGCCCTAATAGTCAGGCTGTCAGCCCTTCTGATGGTCTGATGCCAAGCAAAGGAGGCCACAATAGATCCGTTTCTCATGACTCGTACTTCGACCACCTTGCGGAGACACCATCCATGTCCCGTCGGGCCTCATCCCGCTTGCACGAAGAAGAAGAAGGTAGGTGCACTGTTTTCAGCTTTTGCCTTTTCAGCCCCCTGCAAATTCCTTTCTGCCACTTATGCCTCCATTTTGCAACTTTCCCTCCAGGCTTTTCTTCTTCACTTGATCTGAGTGAGATCCAAGTAAACTTTGAACTGGAAGAGTCAGAGATGCGCATGTTTTCAGAGGATGAGACTCTTATGTCTACATTTGACAGTGCCAGTGTCATGTCTCAAGGGTCCCCTCATACAAATCATACCAGTATTATGTCACGCCAAGGCAGAAGTTCAGTGGGAGTGAGTGCTATCTGTTGTTTGTATAATTTGCTTTTATAGTGATTACAAGGTTCAATATTTTTATCGTGTTATTTTTGTTTTAGGTTGGCAAAAGGCTTACTCCGCATGGTATCCCTCACCTTGCTCGACCAGAAGACACTTTGAGTGGTGGATGTTCTTCGCTGGATCCTTCCCCGAAGAAACAAAAGACAAGTGGCAACAGTGAGTCTGAAAAGACTGTAGATGTCTGCAAAAGATCAAGATTAGAACAGCAGCTAACCAGCTCAGCAGCTGAATTACGCTACATTGACAGCCAGTCTCCTGAACAAATTCCCATGCAACAGGTGTGTGTTGTTTATCTGCCTCCAATAAGTTTTGCTTAAGTGAATGTTCAGTTTCTCTTTAATAAATTGTGTGTTTCTTCTAATTTATTTGTGTGAAATTTTCAGGTTCTTGTGCATGCTGAAGTGCATCACAGTGCATTACCTGCCACAAGTGCTAGTTCTTCCTTAGCTGAAGCTCCAACTTCTGATACTGAAAGCGTCACATTACTGAGCTCTGGGTTGACAACACCGGACACACCAGTGCAACATTATCGTCCCCTCAGGGAAGATGGAGAATCAAGCGGAAGTGGTGTCGGGTCTACACCCGATTATGAGAATATGGCCATATCAGCCTCAAAACTCAGTCCTTTAGAACCAAAATATGAACAGCTCATCGCCACTCCTTCACCTAGTCTGGATATCAGGGCTTATGATGGCATTCCTGTTCCCAAACCTCGTTTTCAAACTCCTCGGACTCCCTACGAGAACATTCAGCGAGACTTTCTTGCAGCCGAAGTGAAAGCAAATGCTGTCGATAAAAGAAATCAACAGAGCTCCAGGTCTCCCTATGAAAATTTGCAGAGGGAATTCATCATCACAAGTAGTGAGTCAACCCCCGCCCTGAGCCCTCCAGCAAGTAGCAGTCCTTTACTCAGTGCTGGCACTACAGCTGTGAGAAATTTGGAGTCAAGTGGAGAAGACGATACTCTGGAAATCAGCCAAGATAATTTCTCTTTGGATCTGAATGCTGGCTTCGATCACATCTACACAGAAATTATGTCAGGTACTGATAAGGACTGTGAAACTGTTGAAGGTTGCTCTATGAGTGATATTTGTGAAACTGAAGATCATTTTGGAAAAGTATCAAATGCTGTTTTCATACCAGATGAGTTAATGACACCTTCCTCTGAAATTCAGTCCCAGAATGTTTATCAAAATGTTCCAAATTTATCTATGGAAGAGCCTCATCCGGTGTGTCGATCAGATGACGATGTTTATGAGGATTTTGCTTTTGACAAAGAAGCCGTAGAAACAACTAATTCTGAAATACCATCTCAACAGAAGGTCCACAGTACAACACCACTGGATCCCAATGTGGTATATCAGCAAGTGAAGTATTTACGACGCTCTATTCATGAAGTTAATGCACTATTGGAAGATAGTAGTCAAGATGTTTCATTACTACAGCAAGTCCATGGTGGAGGCACTATTACAAATGAAGAAGTCCTGAGCGATGCATTTAGTTCCTATGTCAGTGGGGAGACACTTGTTACAGGAATGGAAAAGACGGCTCCCTGTCCTGAAACTCATTTTGATTTTTCCCTTGCTGGAGCCACTGATGCAAGTGGCACTGTAATTAGTGAGGTGCCAGAAGGGACACAAATTTCTCAATCATTTAACTCTGAGTCTTTCCCTCAAGAAAATCAAGGTCTTAGAATTGATAAATGTTTAGAAAATGAGGTAGTAACTTACTGTGATGAAAGTGAAGGATCAGCATTACAAGAAGCTTCCCAAACTTGTTTGTTTCCATCTCATTCCAGTGAGGATATTACTTCGGAAGAACCTCTTCAAGCAAGTGCTTTCCCATCACACTGTGTGGCAGATGATGTTTCTACACATAAACCAGAGCAAGCATGTGAATTTCCAACTCTCCAAGGTCAAGTTTTGAAATCTGAGGTTCTTTCCCCTTCTTCTGAAATGACCTCATTGTCTGATCCATCTTTTGAAGAACCCACTGGTGCTGTCAAAATTGCAACTGACAGCCGCAGACGCTTCGAATCGGAGATCGGCCGGGAGCTGGTCAGAGAAAGGCGCATGACCCAAGAACTTCAGGAAGTACGATCAACCAAGTCATCACCCCATGAGTCACCAGTCCACAAGTCTGACCGGAACAAATCAAGTGTGAAGGAACTTCTTTCTCGCTTTGAAGTAACATCTATGGATTCAGAGTCGCCATGCATGTCAGAGACATCACCCTCGCCTAATGCTTCCAGAAGATCAGATCCACATCCCAAACCAACTGAAAAAATGGACATAACATCAGCCACTTTACCTCCTTGTTTGAGGGCTCGCGCTGCTCGAATGGCACGCTCAAAGCTTACACCTGCTCCAAATTTTAGTGCATCACTAGACGAAGATCACTTTTTGAGATCAGGAGGAAGTAAGGGTGAAGGTCGAGCTCTGATACGTACTCAGACAGAGCCTGATGTGAATGCTGAAAACAACACTGGGGAGGACCAGGAAGAGCAGCAGCCTACATCATCTGAATCAAAAATAATGGAGAATGCATGTACACTTTTTTCTCAAGATGATGATCCCCAGCGAAGAGAACGCATAGAACGATATAAGGAGGAGCGTCGAAGTTTCTTGAGGAAGAAGTACCATTCAGAAAGTTTTCGTTGTGAGAAAGACGAAACACTGGTACGACTAAAGCAAAAGTCTGGAGGTAAAGTAGAATCTGAAGAACCGTCTGTTGAATCAGAAAGAGTCAGTAAACAACAAAGAAGCAGTTTACCTGACCGTCTGCCTTCTGATAAAAAATCTTCCAAAGAGCCTGGCAATTCACCAAGTAAATCACCAAGCAAAAAATCTGCCAAGAGCATTGGTGTTTCATCACCAACAAGCCCCGAACCCATTACATGTGTAACAATTCGTCAGAGGATTGTAACTCCTGATAAAGTTTCATTGAAGGGATGTGATTCTCCTCTGAGCCCTAAATCCCCTAGAAATGAAAGTAACAAATTTGGTTATTCCCCTGAAAAGATAGCCCCTGGTAAAGTATCGCCAGAACGCAAATATTCAGAAAGAACAAGAATTCCGGTGTCTGTGGACCTTGCCCATACAGAGAGGAGGCCCGCACAGCTTGTGCTTGTCCAGCGTTCATCTTTACCTGTCGCTTCCTCTGATAGGAGATTATCTGCTGGAAGCAAAGTTACCTCATCTGAATCCAACTATCCAGTGTAAGTTTCACTTCTGCAGTAATTTCTGTTGAAGTATATTCTCTTCTTCTAATAATTTTTTTTTCTTTTTTGTCTAGTGGTGATGTAAAGCGGAGGGCATCTGTAGAAAGTAATGCCTCACAGCGCTCTCCCATTAAGTCTCCATCTTACTGCATTAAAGACATGGCTGCTTTATTTGAAGCTAAGGAAAATAGTTCTCGGAGTACTGCGAGTAATACTTCTTCCAAATCTGCTCCTTCCACTGCTGGTAAGAATTGTGTATCCTCTGTTTAAAATGTATTTGATTAAGTTTTTGGCAGTGTGTGACGATGACACCATTTATATGTGTGCATCGAAGCCAATTTCACTTATGTCGACTATGCTGGATGATGACCCATCTATTTCTGTGATACGTAATTTTTGACTCTGTGTGCTGATTCAATTGACTCAATGAAGTTTACAATTTCTTTGTTTTGAATTGAAAGGTCTTGTGGTACTATAGATAAACCAGTGCATTTTACGATCTGTTCTCTCCTGTCACTGGCATACGTTTGTTGTGACTTGAGCAATGAATCTGTTTTAATTTTTTTTTGTAATTGTAAGTGTTAGTGGGTGATATATATTTGAGATGTGACATTTAAAATGTGCAATCAAATGGAAAATATTGTTTCCTCTAGAGGATGATTAGGTTTTTTCACAAAATTTACCATTTGTTGTTTTCTTAAGTTTAATGTTGATTGTAAATTTCTTATTGTGCTTTATAATGTTATTTCCGTGTAAGATGAAGTGTGTGCCAATCTTGTTTACTTTCTTTACATTGCTTGATTTGTGCTGTTTTTTTTTCTGGCATGTTATCTGTTTTACATAAGTGTCTATAAAACAAAGGAGCTGACCCTGTAATTCTGAAACATTCCTTTTATAAAGGACCTTAATTTTAATTTTCTTCCTTATTAGAGCCTCTAGTGAGCATTGATATGATTCTGATTCCCAAACCTATTGCTGCTCCCCAGCTTTGGGTTTGATAATGTAAATGATGTCAGCAAACCCAGATTAGTACTATTGCAGTACTCTATTCTTGTTTTTCGGAACTAGGATCAAATGCTGACTCTCATTCCTTTGTGTAGCAGCAGTGGAGGTTGTGAGCTTTATTATGTTGTGTGGGCCTGTTTACAGAAGACTCAAGTTGGTAACTTTATTACAGACTAGTGAGGTCCATTGGTGACTAGACATAGTCAAAATCTTTTTTGGGTGTTCTATTGGAAAAAGTTTTTGAACACCTGTCAAACAAGCGCTTTCTGTGTCCCTGTTTAAACTCATACATATATTTTGATACTTATGAGTTTTAATCTCAATTATGGAAGAAATTCTTAGCTTGTATTAACTCTGACCTTTCAACTTTATTAGGGTAATAGAGAATAAAACACCAGTTTTAAGATTTCGGGTTTTAAAGAGGACGGCTTTTTTTAAATTTGCTAGCTTGCATTATCCTTATTGCTTTTCTCTCTGTGCCAAATAGACTATGAAGCACCTAACTCATCTTGTAATCATACTGGGCGTTTGGGTCTCAATGCAAGAGATCTGTATAACCCTCAAATAGGTAATCAAAATTAGTGCCTTCTTTTGTGTAGCTTAGATGATGCATCTGTGGGATTTGTTGAACATGTCATTCTGATGATCTGAAATGAAGCCATTTTTCTTTGCAGCAGGCATTAAGTTTCTGAGAGATTGCTTTAAAGAGACTGATCTGAATATGTTATCTTATAGTGAAACACTTAGAATGTCTTCCCTCTTTGTATTAGAGGTCTAAGTTCAGATGTCACAAAATTACCACTTACGTTTAAGAAAAATCTTGTCTTCATTTTGAGACTAGGATTTCTAAAATATACTTAGTATATATAGTCTAATATATCTATATAAATTTATATGATTGTTGACAGTCTTCTGCTATTGCTCGTTAATTCATTTTCCGATTAGTTCTGTTTCACTTCCTGCCATTAGTTAACATAGTGTAGCACCTGTGTTTATTGTTGTTTTGGTAATGGTTTTGTTCAACTAAGTACCTTTTTTACTGTTTGGATTTCATTATTCACTGTTAATGAATTTGTGCCATATGTGCATGCACCACATCTGATCTTTTGCTTCTGCTCTTCCTTGGACCAAAATTGGGTAATACCGTAAAATTAAAATATTGTCCTCCAAAGTTTCTGTTAGTTGTCTCGTAGTTATTATAGGCCAATAACCATTATGAACATCACAAATGGCAATAGTATTGTGTTACTATTCCAGTTGTTTTTCACTCTTAATTATGTATCAAGGGACGCCCAGTGTGCTCTTTTATTTGTAGGTCTTAACCGTCGATGTGTGGTGTGCTGGATGGTGTAACGGCAGGCACACCTTGCCTCTGAGCAAGAATAAGTTAAAGCGTTATGCTTTTATAATTAACCTAGACTGTAGTCATTGTTAAATTTTTTTTTGTACTTGCTAACCTTTTGTAACACATGAGTTCAAAGCTTTATTTCTTTTAATTTTGCGACTGACTAGCATTTCCTATTTAAAATATAGAACAAAATACCCACTTGTTGAATATGACAGAAATTAACTGCATTATTATATAATTTTAGCTTGCCAGCCCTATGGTTATGATAACACAGCATTTTATCATGTGAGCATAGTACAATTGCCACATTTGATTAGGGCTCCTAAAATATAGTTCGTAGCTTATTTGCTAATTTAGCCTTGAGATTTGAATTGGTTGTAACTTTTAAGCCCTTTTTCATTGATTTGAAAAAGAAAAGGTTTTTGACTAATACTGTTGTGTAATAATCTCCAGTATTATTGGCAATTTTTGCAATTTTGTTTCTGTCCATAAGCAGTTTATTTCACCCTCTCTTCGTCACGTGTTGAACCTCTTTTTATTTCTCTCAAAAAGTGTTATCAACTGTGTGTCACTTGAACTGACAGCTGCAATATCTTTTATTGACTGACTTTTAATTTTTATTTCCCTTCTTGTTATACCAAAGTTTCTTTTTTTCCCTTTTGTGGCTTGTTTTGCTCTTTTGAAAGTTCTATGGGCTGGATTATACCAAACGCCTAACATACCACTGCAATTTTTGTGCCTTTATTTTAAATGAGGCATTCTATTTCTGTTTTGACAAGTAATTTGTGTGCTAGTGCCTTTTATAATTATTTTTCCCTGTAAAGTTTACTTGGACCTTTTTATATCTTCTATGTATGGAAAACTGTACAAACAGTTGACAATCAGTTTTGTTGAGGGCCCAGAATGTTCCAGGAGTCTTAGTGGTGGACCAAACATAAGAGGCAACTGGATTGGAAATTTGTAATAGGGAAGGTCAGTTCTCTGTAATGTGATTGATTATGTTATATGTATGTTGTAAGAACAAATCTAAGCATGTTTGTAAATTTGTACAAAACACTCAAGTCATGCTGGATAATTTTAGTTGGCTTTGTTTATGTTCTCATATTTTTCCATAAATGTTAATTTCTACCTTTGACTTCTTTCTTTTCCTTCATCCAACCATTCACACTAGTTACTTTATTTGAATAGGGTGACATGTGAAGAGAATTACGGAAGTTAGGTTTCCTCACTGTTTATTTCTATTTTCTTTTAACATTCTCAGAACCGGATCAGAGACAACATCAATTTCACATTTTATTCCCATTATTGTCTATAGTTACAATCTAAGTGAGTAACATTTAACTTAAACTGGTCTAGTGGTTCAAAAAGCATAATACACTTTATTTTTGTTGGTTGAGATTTACATATTCTTTATTGCTGGTGTAGTGAATGAACAAGTGGGGAATCCTTTGAATATTGTAATTTAAACAGAATTACTTAACACACTGATCTACTTGGGAAAACTCCATCTTCTTGATTTACGTTCTTAAAGCACTGTTTTGAAGATGCCTTCCAAAATTTGCACCCTTTTGGAAAGTTTCAAACAGGCTGTGAAACTAATAACATCAAAAGCATCACAAAACCTTGAGAGAAATCTGTGGAAGCTGATTATGCCGAGAGACGTTACAAGTTCTCCATCCTGGATTCCACACAGAGATATTCTCTTCATAAGCTGTTTTCGTCCTAGCTTCAATTATTAGCTATTGTTCCTCTTCCCCCACACATTATTGGATCATAGACTCATGCATTTAAAATTTAAAGCATGTACCTTCAAACTGTCTGACTACTTGCCTACTGACTTCACCAGAGACAGCAGTGGTTCAATACATATGACTGTGAATTATTATTTATTCTGCACCAGCCAATCACACAAGAGAATGAAGTGCCGGCAAATTTCGTTTCATTACCAATGCCAGATTTATCCTAATATCACAGTCATGATTTCCAAAGCGAATAAGCCAGCTGCGGCGGAAGCCTCGGACATGGATTTAAAAAACCGCGAGGGCTGAGGGCTAGTGAAAGCGGGGGTGGAGAGTGAAGTGGGGACACCTGGGACTTCCCCACCCAAAGCTGCGGCTGTGTGTACTTCGCAATCAAAGTAACGCGGCGGGCTGAAAGGGACTCAAGGATTTGAAGCTCGTCTAGAGTGAAGTCAGGTGCACTCGGCCCGTCGGGCCCAGTAGTCAGAGGCATCCCTTCCCGGCATGCAAGTCGACAACTTCAACTTCCCCACGAGGTAACTCTCCCTCCACAAAGAGACAGGCACACTGAAACACTGAAACTGAAGCGGCGGGAAGGACACAGACACACAAGCTTGATATGCGAAGACTGCGAGGGCCGGCAAGCCGGCAACGGCAAAGCTGCCAGAAAGCTGGGGCCGGAGCAAGCTGGAGATGCTGAAGCACCACGTGGCGGAGGCCCAGGCCAGGCCTGCCTACACTGTCACGTGGCTCCCCCACCCAATCCGGCATTCCGGGCGCGCTGCGGGGGTGCTGCGGCTGCTCTCCGCCCAGCTCTCCGACAGGAAGGCCCCGGGCGCCCAAGGCCCACCGCGAGCGTCGCGAGAGGAGGGCGAACGCGTAGCGGCCTAGCGGCCTAGCGCGTGAAGGCCACGGCGGGGGCGGTGAGGAAGAAGAAGCCGAGGCAGGGCTGCTTGAGGCACGTGTCCCTGTCCCGCTCGGAGGACGCCTTGCTGCTGTACAGGCGGGCCACGGCCTTCACCTTGGCGCGGCACTCGGGCTCGTGCGGCGCCGACGTGCAGATCTCGGCACCCAGGCGGCGCAGCTCGGACACGCACGACGAGCTCTCCGGCAAGCCCACGTAGGGCCCCTGGAAGGAGAGGGTTGTGTCAGGTTAGGCTGGGTTGCCTTGCTGCGGCACTGGCTACTCACGCAAAGGTGGCAGGCGTGGTACAGCACGCAGATGGGCACCAGGCCGTTGTCGCCGCCCACCACGCCGCGGCAGGACTGCGACAGCTGCGCGACGGCGGGGCAGCGGCCCATGGTGTCGCGCGCCCAGAAGGTGATGGTGCGCGCCACCGGGGTGATGCCCGGGCGCGGCTGCAGCACGCCCTCCTCGTCGTCCTCCGTGACGACGCCCTCGTCATCGGCCAGGTCCCAGCGCTTGTCCCACGCCGCCGGCAGCAGCTCGTCCGGCGAGGCGCCCTCCTTCTTCACGGCCACGCGCTTGTCTGGTGTGGAGTGAACACAACGAGCGCGTTAGGCAATATTTGAAAATACTAGTGTTGTCACTTTGTCTCTTTCGTTAAAAAGTTTTACTCACTGATGTTGCCTCCCTTTGAAGACTTGAAGCCCCTGAAGAGAAACAGGAAAATCGCCCGTTTTTAAAAATGTGAGTCCAAGTGCCTCTGTGTGTGGGCACATGGACTAGCTTCGCAACTCACATGAGGTTGTGTCGCAGCAGCCACTCGCCGTCCACGGCGTTCTCCAAGGCGTCCACGTCCGCGTCGCTGTACTGGGTGGACTTCTTGCGGCGCCGGTCCAGGCCGAAGTACTGCGACCAGTCGATGGACTTCTTGGCGATGCGGCGGTGGCGGGACAGGGCCAGGGGGATGGGCAGCTCCTCCTGCTCGCCGTCGGCCGCGGCCACCGCCGGGGCGCCGTTAGCGCCGGCTGCCCCGGTCGACGCCGACCCCTTTTCCTGAGACGGCGGCTGCAGGGAGGCAGAAAAATGAGTTTGTTTTGTGTTTTTCTTTGGGATACCTCGAACAGCCACCCGGCACTCACGGGGTGCTCCTCGGCATGCTCCTCGGCGTGCACGGCCTGGTCGTGGGCGTGCGGGCCCTCCGCGGCCACCATGGGCGGCGCGTGCTCCTCGTGCACGTGCACCACCGTGTTGGGGCTGTTGGTGGCGGTGCCGGGCGCGTGCTGGTGCGGGTGCTGGGCGTGCTCCCTGGCGATCTTGTCCGTCTCGTGAGCGTGCCCGATGGGGCTCAGGGGGACCGGGTTGCGCTGGGCTGCGCGCCAAACGGAAAAGCAGGTGCGGGGTCAGTTGACAAGCGGTCGTCGGGGTGTTCGGGAGTTCGCGGTGCATCCCGCGAGGTACCAGTGCTTTTGAAAATGGACTTACCTCCGTCGGCCTGCTTGGTGGCGTTCTTGTTGGGGCCGGCCGTGGTGGTGGCGGTGGCGGTGGGGGCCGCGCCGGGGACGGTGGTGGCTGGGGCGGAGGCGGCAGCGGCGAGAGGCAGCGCCAGTGGCGGCTCGGGCTCGCCGTCGGCGGGCTCGGGCTCGCCGAAGATCCTGGCCAGGTCCTTCTGCACGTTGGGGGCCGTGTCGGCGTGGGCCTGCGTGCTCTTCTTGCGGCGTCGCATGGCGTGTCCCTGCTGGCCCTGCTGCAGCGCCTCCTCGTCCGGGCGCTGCGCGCTGCGCTTGGTGAGCAGCAGCCGCTTGACGGCCGGGTCGTTGTAGCGCTCGTCGAACAGCTGCTCGGTGAGGAGCAGCGCCAGGCGGTTGCCGCCCGGGCCCGGCGGGCCGCTGGGCACGCTGGGGAAGTTGAGGCTCAGGCTGCCGGGCCCGTACTCGTCGTCGTCCAGCACGCCAGTGGAGTCGTCCAGCCGTTCATCGCCCCAGTCGTCGGAGTCATCCTGCGAGGCGAAGAAGCGTGTCAGAAACAAAAGCCACTCGTCCCCACTGGGCGCCTGACGACAGCGAGGACTGTACCTCGTCGGGGTTGGTGGAGCGCTTCTTGAGCTGGTAGCCGCTCCAGACCAGAGGGGCGGCCCAGTCCAGGGAGGAGGTGCCCTGCTGCTGGCTGGGGGCGGGGGCGGGGGCGGGGGCTCGCTTCTTGGCGCCGGGGATGTCTTCTATGGAAGCAACGACAAAGGCCGTTAATCTCGCACCAAGTCACTCCGCCTCCAATCAAATAAACAGCTCACTACTGCTCTCATTGTGCCTCATTGAACTTGCCTCCCAGCGCCTCCAGGAACTGCAGGGTCTCCAGGTCGGTGAGGTCGTCGGGGCCGACGTCAATGGCCCCCGTCTGCTGCTGGTAGCGCACCCACGCCTCGCGCAGGGCCTGCAGGTAGCGCTCGGGGTTGTCCACGGGCTCTGCAAGCCAGTCACCTCGTGTTCAAGACGGGGTTGCGTTAGGTGAGGTCAGGTGTCGGTGCGACTCCCTTACCGGCCGCTGGTCCGCCCGCCGGGTAGAAGGAGCTGATGCTGGGGTTGTCTCGGCGCCAGTCGCCCCACTGCTGCTGCTGGGCTTGCTGTGCCTGCTGCATCTGGAGTCGCTCAAGCTGCTGCTGCTGCTGCACGCGCTGCCTGCGTTGCCGTGACGCCATCCGCTCCCTGAAGGCCGACGGCGCCGGGGTGTCGCCCGCGTCCACGTCCGCAGGGAGGAGCCGCGAGCGCTTCTCGGCTGGAATCCAAAATTCGACGCATCATTGGCAGCTCTCCTTTTTTGTTCTTTCGAGTGCGCGTCCGCGGGCGTGTCCTTACCGGCGTCGTCCTGCCAGGCGCTGGGCTGGCCAAGCAGCAGCAGCCCCTGCACTTCCTGCCGCCCGTTCCTGGTGACGCGCGCAAGGTGCGCGGGGTTGCGGCTGCGCTGGTAGCCGTAGCCGATGTCCTCGGGCTGGCCGTCGCCTGCAACACACAGCGCGCAGCACGCCGTTCACACCAGCGCCTCCACGACGGCCTCCTTGCTCTTTACCGTCGCCACGGCGTCGGGGAGCTTACCCAGTATCTGCTCCAGCCCCTCGGCCGGCGCGGCCTGGACGGCCAGAGCGGCGAGAGGTCTTCCTCGCTGAGCCGCCACGGCGCCCAGCGCGGAGAGCGCGAGCGCGAGGGCCAGCCACGGCGCCATGGTGCCTCGCAACCAGTCACCTGTCCAAACAAACAAAAGCAATGAGGCAAGCGGGAAGTTGTTGTTTTTAATAACGCCGTGCTTTTAATTGCCTTTCGGCGGTGGGGTTTATTCCGCCAAAGCAGCGTGGGGTGGGGATTGGGGGGGGGGGTGCGAATATATGGGTATACTACCCGGGAAACGTGCAAAGGAGGCGTGGACTCAGGCCTCCGAACCGCTTCGAACCGCGTCGAGCCGGGTGGCCGTCGCCATGCCGCCATCGGGTCGTGGCCGGTCAATGCAGCCGCGCCTAATAAAGGCCCAACAGACTGCAGGCCAGGATGCTTCCCAAACGGCGCCCTGGTCGCGCTGTCCTTGCCGCACTCATGGGGCGCGAGGGAGAGAGAGAGAGACAGCGCGGCGAGAGCACCGTGACCTTTGCACGGGCGCCACTGTGGCTGGCCTCCAGGAACACGGCGGGCACGGCCATAGACGGCCTTTGTGGCGCGTAACGGGCGCACGCATTACGTATGGCTCGGTGCCGCGGGCGGTAAAGCAAGGTGTGTGTGCGCGGCAGTGGCGGTGTCCATTGTTCTCAGTAACAGGGCAGGGGCGCGGCCCGCGGCAAGCTGCAGCTTTATATAACCCCCTGCCCCTGCCCTGGCTGGGGCTGGGCAAGCTGATCCCGAACAACGTCGTAGCTTCGACGTCCTGCCTCTCTCGCACGCCAGCGGGACGGCCCACGAGTGCGAGAGAGACAGCCCCGCAAGGCGGAGCGCACACGTGTCGCGGCCGTCGGAAATAAAGTGGAGACAAAGTGGGGAGGCGAGCGGCAAATGGAATCAGGCAGACGAAGTGGGGGGGGGGGCTAGTCGCGGCGCTGAATCTGAAAGGACGGTCTGGAACAGCCTGGAGCGGCGAGCTGCGAGAGCAAGAGCGCGGCGAGGGGTGGCTGTCTGACTGTCTGGCTCTCTCGCTGTCTGTCTCTCTCTCTCTCCATGCGCTCCGCTCTCCGCCCCGCGCGACGAGACTAAAATAGAAGCAGCGGCGAAAGCGCGGGAAAAACGAAACGAAACGAGGACAGCGGAGCAAAAGCAGAGCGACAAACGCGCCGCGGTGGAAAGCGGAAAACTCCCCGGCGGGGCCGAGCGGGGCGCACTTTGGGCCCCATCACGCCGCATGCGCGGCCCAGCCAGGCGCAGCCAGGCGCAGCCCACACACTGTGCACGGTGCAGCTCGTTGGGCCATTCCGCCATTTCGCAGTGCGGTGCGGCGCGGTGCGGCGCGCGGGGCCTAAGCCGCTGCAAAGCCGCCACGGCCCCAAGGACGTCTGCCCTCCGCCTGGCTGCCTCGCTGCCTCGACCTCCTAATAAGGCTGGCTGGCTCGGCGCAACCCCGGCCTGCCTGCCCTAGGCCCTCCAGCCCGCCAGCCGTCCCGGCCCGGCCGCCCTTCTCCAAGGCCCTTATTCACCAAGACTGGCCTGCGGCTGGCAAGGCGTCTTATCAAGTCCACAGCCCACGCCGTGGCGCCGCGCCGCGCCTCCCCCACGAAATACCAGCCGCCAGCCCCGCCAGCCCCGCCCCTTTCCCTGTCCGCTTCCGGCGCACAAAGCGTACTTGGGCGTACTCGACGACGACACTGGAAGCGCGGGGCGACGCACAGTGGGCCAGAAGACCGGTGGAGGCGGCCGAAATTCTAGACGCGTCTTGAGCTCCAGAGTTGCTGAACAGGACTCGAACCGACCGTGTGACCCCACCAATGGATTCCTCGTTCGGAGAGCAATCCATTGGTGGGGTCACACGTTCGATTCGGGTCCCATTAAGTGACTCTGGAGCTCAAAACGTGATCAGAGTTTTGGCCGCCTCCGCCGGTCTTCTGGTCCACTGTGCGGCGCGGGGACTGCTGACGGGCTTCGCCCCGGCGCTCCTAAAGCGCGAAACGACTCTGCCGTGGTGGTCGCGGTGGTCGCGGTGGTCGCGGTGCTGCCGGCCTCGGACAGCAGCGGGAACGGCGGCGGGATGGCTGGATCGATGAGTTAATTAGCGAGACACTCAGGCCACACGGCCAGCACGGCCTCGACCAAGAGGAGTGAGACGCACTCCAGCCTCCAGGCCCTCTTCGTCATGGATTATTTTCGGCCTCTGAATTTTCCGCTCTCCCATTTCGAACAGAACAGCGGAGAGGAGGATGAGGAGGAGGAGGAGTCGGCGGAGAAGGAGGTCTTCATTCCAGCCCCCTTCCCATTCCCCCTCTCCCCCTCGCGCAGCCATACCACGCTTATATTAAGCATTCCTGTTCGTGCAACTCCGCTCCCGATAGCGGACGACGCACAACAAAGGGGGTGACCCGAGGCCCCTCCTCCCCACTCGACGGACGGACGGACGGACATTGATATCGACGTGTGAGTGGAGTGACGAGGCAGATTAAGCGAAGCAAGAGCGGACTCGACCGGACGTCGGGCACGCGGTGCGGTGTGCGTGTCTGCACAGTGATTCCGAACAGTGCTGTCCTCGCTCTGTTTCTCTCGCTCTCATGGAGAGCCCCCGTAGAGCGTGCGTGCGAGAGAGGTGGAATCACTCTGCTGTGGACACGTGGACAAAACGCGGCCTCTAGGGTGGACGGTCGGACCACCACAGCACCGCCAACTCTCTCGGGGAGTACTCCTCTTCCTTTGCAGAGTCCACACGGCCCCGCCTGGCCCCGCCTGGCCCCGCCTGGCCCCACCCCGCATAGCGCCGTCTCGAAAAATAAAAATAAAGGACTCCGACCTGTGACATTCAACCCCCTGCCCCTGCGGCGTGCGGGGGCACAGCGCTGTGCGAGAGAGAAGGCCTATACCGACCGGGGGGTTTAGTGAGGGGTCGAGCACGTGGCGCAGGAAATGGAGTTCTAAACGCGCACTCCACAGCACTGCAAACTGCACTGCAAACTGCACTGCAAACTGCAGACTGTAAACTGCAGAGCGCAACCCGCGACCTTTTCCCCGACCCGACAAGCGCCGCTAACTCACCAGGGCCGTTTCCGCCTCCGCTTCCGCGATGAGGAAGCGTGCCAAATTTCGCTTCCTGCTCGCTCGGCCAGGCGCTCCGCGCTCCACGGATTAGCGCGGCCCAACGCGACGGAGGCGGACTTCCAGTGTCGGAGACCGGCTCACGGCTTCGTCAAGCAGCAGAGCAGGCCCATTCCGGACGGTGCTCTCGTCGCACTCGTGCGGCGAGCCGGAGAGAGCGCCCGACGGCCCGAGGGCAGGCCTTCCGCCGACAGGCGTGTGCAGCGGGCTGCCTACCCCGCGTTCAACAGGCGCTACCTTGCCTCTAGCCCTCGCCGCCGCCACGGCCGCGGCCAGAGACCTGTTGGCGGATTTGTAATGGGAAAAAATTGGAGAGGCTCTGGAACGAAAGTCTTCCCGAGGTGGGGTTTTGGTGTGGGGAGGAGAGTTGGGATAAGTTAAAGTGGTGGTGAGTTTGAGGAGACAGTGCGACTGACAGCAGCAGACTGCGAGAGTGGTTCTCGTCGCTCTGTCTCCCTCGCACCAATTCGGGACGCGCCATGAGTGCAAGAGAGATCAGAATCGGTCAGCAGTGGTGGCGGCCAGCGAGACAGGGATGGACAGGGAACCACAGGGAGCAGGGTCTGGTGGAGCTAATTGGTGGCGGGACGAGTTGGACGAGGGAGTGGGGCAGCAAGCCAGCAAGCGGCCGAGGCAACGAGCCCATTCCGAACGAGGCTTTCGTCTCTCTGTCTCTCTCGCACTCAATGAGTGTTTGGTCGAGGTGTGAGCGAGACAGAGTGTGGCTTCCGTTTTCTGGCCCGGTCCGGCGCGCGCTCGAGTGTGCCTCTTGTCGAGTGCGCTGTGTTTGCCCCGGGCATTTCAAGGCTTTGGCCGTAGAGCCTGCCTGTCTGCCTGCCTGGGCCGCGCACCGCGCGCACCTCGCCCGTTGCCGTGGCAACGCGACAGCCAGGAGGGAGCCGAGGGACGCCCTAGGAGGGAGGCTGGAGGGGCTGGCTGGAGGCTCCAGCCACGGCTGGGCCTGGCTGGCCGGACTCACGGCAGGCGCACGAGGCCTTGGCGGCCGGCCCGCTGTACCATGTCACTCTCATGTCACCGGCATGGCGCCGCCGACGTGCCCCCTGGGGGGCTCCCCTCTCCCTTTCCTCCGACTGCGTGGGCCAGGGCGCAGGAGCAGACACGGTGGAAGTACGGGGGCCGTCACGCAGAGCGCGAAGCGCGGAGCCAGACCCGGAGCTCTATCGATTCATCGCTCAGCAACTCGGCATGCCGATGCGGTGCCGATGCGGTGCCGACTCCGTGGCAGTCGCCCGTTCGCGCATTCACATCGGGATTCGAATGGCCTCGACACGCGTGCAGGTGCATTGGAGCAGCTTTTGGAAAGCTTTGGGCCGAGCCATGTCCTTCGTTTGCCTAACCTAACCTAACCTAACCTAACCTAACCTAACCTGACCTGACCTAACCAAACCTAACCGAACCTAACCTACCATCCGCGCGTATTGAACGAGCTGGCCGCAGGTGGTCGCATTCCCACGCTATCTGTTGGTGGAATCGTCAATCGTAACGCGATAAACGCGTTCGGAGAAGCAGTGCAATTCCTCTCCCCCTCCCCTTCCCCCCTCCCGTGACCAGATCGTTTATTCTTTGTGAGGGCAATTCGCCGCTTCGCCGCCACAACCACAGCGCCATTACTCATTCCCATTAATCCCAATTTGGCGCTGCAATGTAAACCGTGCGCGGCGGACGGCAGCCTGGGCTTTATTCATGGTCGCGTCGACGGCTTCAAAAGGGCAAAGTCAGCGAGCAACGCAACTTGGATTCTTGATGACAGCGTGACTACCACTCGTTGTTCCGAAGTGCATCGCCAAGGTGACCTTGGGCACGCGGCGGCGGCCTTCCCTCCCCTTCCCTCCCCCAACCCGCGCCGCACCTGAACCTTGCCGCCGTGCCCGGCGCCCTCGTGCTTTGTGTGGCCGCGGCCGCAGCGGCGGTGGCGGCTCGTCGCGATGCTCGCCCTGCAGGCCGTCGCCGTGGCCATCCTCGCCATGGCCGTACTCACCCATCCCCGCAGGGCATCCGCCACCCCTAGGCCCGGCCCCAAGCGTGGCTGTGGTGCCGCCTTGGCCGCGGGGCGGACTGGCCGTGGAACTGGAACGCTGCTGGGGCTGCTGGCCTGGGCCTGCTTGGGCTGCTTGGGCTGCGGGCAGCGCGGAACGGCGGCGAGGGCGGCGACGTCTCAACCCCACCTCACTTGAGCGTCGACTACCCCGCCGAGCCGCGTCGAGGCTCGCTGGCCGGGGTGGCTCCAGGCCCCCCACCACCCCCTCGCAGCCCCCACGCCCCCCGCCCCGCCCACCCGGCTGGCTGTGGTGGGGCGTCCTCCGACAAGCCTCGCCTCGAACATCCAACATCGCTCCGTCCTTGTCGCTCGCATTGATTTTGCATCTCGCGACCGGAAGGCGCGACCGCTCTGCTCGCCAATTTGCTTTCCGTTTTCAATGACATCCCCGGAGCGACTGCCTCATCCACTGCCACAGCGACCACCGAGTCCACCAGCAAGGCCCCTGGCGTCCTCGGCGTCGTCCTCGTCCCAGGACACGGCGGCGTGTCGTGGTGGGCGAGGACGGCGAGGACCTCAAGCCCAGGACCCCAGGGCCGGGCACCGGGCATGCGCCCTGGGGCTCCGCGAGGCCGGGCTCCATTGATATATCCACGTCCGACCGCGCGGGCCTTGCGGGGTGGGGTGGGAAGGGGAGGGGGCCGCGCCGTGCTCAGGAGCTCGTTTGAGAAGAGCGTGGGTTCGAACACTGACTTTGAAAAAATATCTCAATCTGCATTTTGACACTCCTGCACGGGCCTTCTCGATGCCCAACAGGATCAGTCTTGCGCCCCTCAAGTCACTGGAGTGTTCCAGAATTTCCAAAGACTCCCAATTTTGAAGTGTTTAAGGGACAGACATTAAAGGACACTCAATTCAATCCAGTTTCGAGTATTTTATTAAGAGAAGGAATTAACTTCAGGGGTAAACTCTACTTTAAACTGAACATTTGTAGACAAAACAAGAGATCCATAGGTAAACATATAAAAATACGTAACAACACTGACAGTTCATACTCTACTCATAACCTACAGTATCACAACACAAATGTCAGGAGTGGAAGAAGTTGGTACTAAAGACTCCCTGTAATATTCAAATTCCAAATATTTTAAAACTGTAACATTCATGATCACATAAGAATATTCTTTTTACAAATCATTTGACACACAAATTTTTACAAAATGTACAGCACAAATATACAACAGACAAAAAGAATTTCTACAAGAGTTTCTTTTGATTTTCTGGATAATAAATTTACAAAGCAGAGATACTGATCATAGGCATTAACTCAGGACAACAAATCAAACCTTTACTATCTCATCTAAAAATAAATAGACCTAGCCAATCTCTGAGAATAACAGTAATAAAAGAAAAAAAGTCCAGTAAACTTTTTATTTTCAGTAAGAAACATGTATTTGCATTAAGGTTTGGGGCCTGGTCAAAAGAAGAAAAAAGGCTATTATCAGTTAATTGTGCAGCAAAGTCAAACCCTCAAACAATAGTCTCAAACTATGGTTACATCAGATCATAAAAACAGTTTATTTGAATCAACCAAACAAACTTAACAATTACTGCCATTTAAAACTTAACTAGATTTCCTCTGCATGTGTGTATGAAAGAACCACAATTCATTTGATCTTCAAAATTTGTGAAATTTCTGTTTCAATTCTTTTAGTTTAATGACCTAGAGGTGTTGACTCATGTACTAGACCCTTAGATTTACAGTAGAGTACCAAGGAGCAGTCTTGATTAAGTAGACTTTAACATTTATCACAAAATGGTTGGCTCACTAAACTAGAATATGCTAGTGGAGTGAAACAACATGCATTTCAACATCATCACAAGGAAGAAATTTCACAAATAAGATTTTACTCAAAAGGTTTAAGTATAAAACGCAATCAGCACAAATCACAAACAAGCAGAACATAATCATAAAAAGAATGTAATGGTACAGTAAGGAACATTGGAAACCAGTACCATGAGTAGTAAATTTACTATTGTAACATCAAATGAAACAGCTATTCTATTCACACATGGAAAGAGTAAATTTAAAATCAATACCAAAAAATTTCCATTTTATGGGCTAAAAAGCCTGCTTTCACAAGGAAAGATGGGAGAGCAGGAACCCATTTCCATGCCAAAAAAGGAAAATACTTGAATGAAATAAAAAGAATGAATGTAATAGAAATAAAAATTGTGGTACCTTGTGACCTTTGTCTTGCAGTAATGTTAGTCAAATCATGAATTGCACTAACTTATAGAAAACATAAGGAGTATATAATATTTTTTTTCATTAACCACGAACTTGACTAATGCAATATCTTAAAAAGGATTAAAAGCATTCACCGTTTGAAAAGGCCATTTTTGTATCAAATTCCCTGATTTAACTCCGTTATAACGTATCAGCATTTAGCGCGTATTTGAATCATCTCAAACATGCTTGTATGGTGTGACTCATAATCCGCATTTTTGCCAATCTAAAACTAAAATTGCTTACTAAGATTCCACAGTTTTATGCATTTCATGATGTTTGACGGAAAAAAGGGGAAGGGAGGGGCGTAGCAGTTGCCTTAAAGCCAAAATCTCTAAGTATAGCACGTAGCATGACCCTTCTGGTCAACCCCGTCGCTGCGTGATTTCTTGAAGAACCGCACACGCCTCGAACACCACCATCGCGCCTGTCATTGTTAACAAATGGTCCAAAACAGAAATTACACAATCATGTACTGGGTTCAGCTCAGTATTTAATAAAGTTTTTGTATGGACTATCTTAATTATTCAACAGAACTCGAAATCTTAAAATTGATCTATAAATACTTTAATGCGACGTCCAATCTTAATTGGCAAATTCGGGCTAGCATGCGGAACGCTTTTAAGCCAGCTCCGCATATAACGCATCCCGCTTATAGCGTCGGAAAAACGGTGCAACGGCTAGCAACGCTATATCGAGCTTATACTGTAATCATTAGATTATTTTTCATTTAACCACCACGAGACTTGACTAGATGCAATGATCTTAACATTGGATTAAGAAGACACATTGCACGCAGGCACATTCAGCCATTTATTAGCAAATTCATGATGCTCTGATATTTCCGTTATTTAGTACGTACAGTCACTATGATTTAATTATGCAATAATCTCAAACATGTTGTAATGGTGTGAATGCAGTAACATCAATTCATGTCAACTTCCAATCTTAAAACTAAAAAAGCTACTACTAATTGATTCCACCATGATTGTTATGATTATTATGATTGTTTGACGTGAGAGGAGGAACAGCTGGTGCAGTAGATGTTGAGTTGGCTTGCAAGTTCGTCAAAAATTGTTGTAGCACAGTAGCAAGAGCCCTTCTCTTAAAGCGGAGAGACTCGTCGATAATTTCTTGAAGAACTGGCACACGCACATCAACACCACCCTTCAGGTTTTCAAGTTGTTCCAACAAAGGTCCAAAATCTGCAAAAATAACAAAAATATTTAGATACTGATTTGGTCATGTATTTTCCAAACAGATGTAGAAACTTATGAACTTACTTTTCCCTGGACGTCGAACTTCTTTATATACTTTAGAGCGCACGTCCAGATTGTGTTTTCGAATTTCAGCCAATTCTCTTCGTGCCTGTTCCTTGTTGATAGTGATATTGTTGACATGAACTGCAGGTGGAGTGGCAGCATCAACTGGTGGTGGCGGTGGCACTGCAACTGCAGGAGGTGCTACAACTGCTACAGGGGGTGCAGGAGCTGTTGGCGCGGCGGGTGGTGCTGCCGGTGCAACTGGAGGAGGGGTGGGTGCTGTTGCTGCTGTTGCTGTGCTTTCTCCATTTGTTGAATATGTTATGTCCTGGGGTTGGTGGGGCGGGGTGTTAATCAACACAGAAGATACAGCAGCTTCCGGAACAAGTAACACCTCAGGTGATTTGGGTCTGTAATCATCTACTTCAGCATCCACAATATCGGCTGCAAGAGAAACAAAATTTATTAATCAGTGAAGGTGCTGCACACACAGCAGTGGAATGTGTTAAATGTATACCCACCAGAAGGTCCATTAGGTAAACTTGGTTGTTGTGCATCTGCACTTGGAACATCTCCTGAAAATGCAAGTGTTGGAACACTTGGTTCTAAGTTGGGTGTGGGTGAAGACGGTGGTGAGGGGTAGGGTGAACACGGAGGTGTTAATGACACTCCAGGGGACGGGGACTGAGGTCTACGTACTACCATGTCCCTTGGTATTGGGCCTGGTTTCCGTTTGTTAGGCGGCCCCCTGTTGGGATCCGCTAACATCTGTCCTGCACTACGTACTGAGGAACTTCTCTTGGAGGCTCGTTGACCTGAACCACCACCACCTCCTCCTCCGCCACCACCAACAAGGTCAATGTCGGCTTCATCAACCATCATACTCTGAAAATCAAAGATAAATAGATATAAACTAAATAAAATGTACACATACCAGAAAAAAATTCATCAGGAATTCTTAAAATACCTTGTCAATTTTGAATGGATTTCCAAACATGTGCTGGCGCACAGGAACTGATTCTATCTCACGTAGTTGAGGCTGCATTCGCTTGAGGTACTCTTGGTAGTTGCCCATTTGACAGACAGGCATACTGTGCTTAAGATCTAGATACAAACGAAAAAATAAAATTTATACAAGCAAATTTTGGGAGGGACACTGTGTCTTAAGTTAAAAGGGACAAACCTTCATCCATTATTTTTGTATGCGCAAGTGTTGGTTGAAGGAAATTGGCCCGCATTCTCACAACTTGATCAATTAAGGTACGCCGAGGGATGTCAAATGCATTGCGGTAACTTTGTCCACTGCGGATTCCTGAGCTCCGTTCTATACCTGCTTGAAATCCTCCAAATTCACTGAGCTGGTCTCTAAGATTGTTAAATTTATCTGCAAAAGAAAAGCCATGTAAAACTTAGAAGGAGAGGAGAGGAAGAACAAAAGTTATTCAAAATGGAAAAAAAAAAGGATTACCATGGAGCAAAGGGTGTGACACAAGGTCTTTTTTCAGAGGTGACCTGGACACTACACGGATACCTTCAGTCACATTACTGTTTGAACCTCCCAAAGAAAGCCTACTCATGGTTGAAGCAGCTTTGTTACTCACTTCACTGCAAAGTCTGATTAAAGAAGAAAGGAACAAGACAAGATATATTTAGATATTTCATGAAAATGCATTAGATAAGTTGTTGGAATGAGTTATTTGAACTTACTTATCATAGTCCATTTTGGCAGTGCTTTTCAGTCTCTTAAGGTGGTTAAGAACAGTATAACTAAGGAAGTTGTCCAAAGCTTCAGGTAGTAGTACACCAGGTAAATTTGGAAGAGCTCCCATTCGAACCAACGCTCTTCGAAGTGGCTTAAATCATGAGAAAACACAAGGTTAAAGAAGACACTTACAGAATTTTTAATTGACTGGTAAATAGAAAAATAGTTAAAAAAGGAAAGAAAAAACTACTTACCCCAACATAGTAGGGTGGCATTGTTCTAACATAATTTTGAAATTGAGCCCTCCATTCAGCAGAGGGCTTAGATCTATGAACTTTGAATAATTCATCCAGTAAAGGCAAAAGTACTGGGTAATTGTATGGCATCACAAACAAATTTACACAACTTAAATTAGTGCTGGCTTTCAAATAACCAAATGGATGCCCTACATCTGAATTCTTAAAGGAATTCGGAACATAAACCTGCATGAAAGAAAAACTTGGTTGAGCTGCATATCAAGAAACAGAAATGAGGAAATTCAGAGTTTTACACACCTGCCAACAAACTGTAGGCTGTTTCCGCGCTAAAATAAATTGAGTTAAGGGAGATGGCTCCAGTTCATACTTGTCAAATGGTAAATTTTCAATGACCATTGGTTCTTGGGGAACGCACATAAATTTTATGTTAGGATGAGCTGAACGAGGAGGCTGCAAAAGATCATGTACAGATTGATTATGAAAATTTTTAATAATACCACAATAGGCCTAGAGCACTTGCGGAACCTTACCAGCAGAGTTGATGATATATCCGGCCAAAATGATTCTGGGATAGGCCAAAACCCAAGGTTAAAACCCTTCTGAGTATTGCGTGGAACATAAATGAGCCTTCTGCAGTTGTGCCAAGACAGGTTAGATCGGACCTAAAAATAGGAAAAGAACAAATTGACCGTGAACTGAAATATTCCGCCATGGGGGAAAACACCAAGAAGTACCGGTATGTTCAATATCAGAACTCACTATGTCTGCAGGATCAGATGACTCAATATCTCCTTCCATTTCATCTCCTCTGTTAGCTCCTGTAAATAAGATTGTTGGAGTTAAAAACAAAAATAAAATTGTTTATATAATTCTTATTTATAACTGATTCACAGTAAAAATCAAAGCAGTTCTACACGCACCTTCACCTGTAATGATGGGTGGATCTGGACCAATCTTTTCAAAATTAACTACCACTCCACTTTGTACTTTGAGAACTAAACTGTCCACGCATTGCATTAACATGCGCTGTGAAGTGATGCTATAGGAGCGGCCTAGAAAGGGGAATGAAAGCATGAGATTCGGACACAAGGGAGCAATGATCTGGCTTTATTTGCAGCAGTATATATAAGACACTCACCACCAGTGACCTCGCACATGGCCTCAATTGGTGAATCATCGGTGGGAACTAGACCTGAATCCCTGTCAACAGCAGGTGTACCGGACAGTCTGAGCACTAGAGAAAATAATCGCTGGTCCCATCGGAATGGTTCTCGTGTTAGCTCTGATCCAGGGATTGGAGAATGCATGGGGAGATTAAACTGCAACAAGACAAGACCAGAATTGTATAATATTTTCAGTGTGAGAGCTCTACTAATGAATGACAAACAATACATACATCTCCTTGGACACCTTGGGCACAAGATAACTTTCCTCCATCAGTAATGACCACAATAACAGATGGCTCCAGAAAAAAGGGACAGCGCCCCTGGCCATAAGTGTCAATACCAGTCTGCATACGATTAATGTTCAGAACATCAAATGCATTCTTCAGAGCAGCACCCATAGTGGTCAGGCCTACACATTGGAGATTTTTCAATTCATTCATGAAAGTGCCAAGGTTCTCCTTCCAGCCAGCCTGTAGAAAATAAATTGACAAGTCAGAAAAGAGTAGTTAAAATAGTCCAGAGTTTATCCATCAGAATATTTAGGAACTTACTTTGATATGATTAGGGGGATCTTCAAAAGTTAACAGCATATATCGGTCTCCACGACTCTCTGGTATTCTCTGACGGACCTAAAAACAAAAACAATTCATCTTAAAAATAAACAACTCTCAATCAAAAGAAACCGTGCATGAAACTTGTGAGAACTAATAGATGGCAAGCTGTCATGCATAATATTGAATGTTGACATGTCTTAAATTAATTAGAAAATTCACTATGTAAACAAATTTGCAAAACTAGTTATTTTCTTTTAAATAAGTGAAACATAAGAAAACACGCTGACAAAAGAGTCAAATGGAAATCATTCTCGTGAAATGAAATTTTCATTCATTACGAAATCGTAAATAAAGAATTACTTCCCCCAAAAAAGTACAGGTTAAGCATCATAACATTTTGACGTGCAGAAGACCGCTCTGCTGCATTGAACAGTGTACCTACCTTCACGAAAGTCTCTACTGCTCCTTTGGCCACATCTAATAAAGTGGGGCGTCCACCTAAATAGGCTCTCTGATTCATAGAGGCCGAAGTGTCAATTAGAAAAACAATAATGGTCATTTTGAATCGAGGTGAAAATGTCTTATACTACATAATAATAACAAAATAAGCCATCGGCCACGACAAGGGTTCCTCCTCAAAACGGCGCATGAGTCGCCATTGATTCGGAGCCTTGTCGAGATACCACAACACGTCCTGGTGCATTCAGTAGGCGGCGGTGGATTCGACCCAGGACGTGCCAGGGCTGCCATCCTCTGACGATTTCATGACGACTCAAGGGTGACTTTATCATTGTAGAGTTTATAACGGCAGCCAGAACGGAAAACTAACTTAATAAACACGTCAAATCTAAAGATATTCTACCACCAACACTGCCAGAAAAACATCATTACCATGTCATCAGTACCGTTAATTTCCTCCAAAGTTGGATATCGTTCCCGCACTATAGTTCAAATCCACAAGGTGGAGGGTGGGTGTGGAGGGAAGCACCAAACCCACCAAACCAAGGCTCGTTTACAAGGAAATACAAAATAACCGGAACACAAGTCAAAATCTCTTTTATTTTTTTTACAGGAAAGGTCTACTTTAGCTTGTGGTTTATTTTGATCTTAAAAAAACAGTCACTTTAAACTATGATTCCCCCTCCAATTTTTTTAAAAAGAAAATGCTTGTTATAATTCACATGAAGAACAAGAAGCCAATAAAGAACAAATAAGACACTGTTGCAATATCAAAAGGGTTTGATAGACACACATGAATGGTGGGTGACATTGGAGAGTTGTCCACCACTGAGCAATGAAAACATGGCAGGTTGTCTACACAATGTATGAAATCTGAGCAAACTTCTTACAGTCCCAAAGAAACGGAACACCCCCTTGATGTCATTTGATCTACAACTGCTTTTAGCTTTAATTATGAGAAAAGCCACATCGTCATAGATGGTCACATTGACATCCTTTTCACTTCTTGACTGAATGTTTAATATTCTTTGGGATGGCAGAAAATAAGGTCCAATATACCAGCAGATTATCAGCCAGTCTCTGTGCTTTTTTTTTTTGGCATGGACAAAATACAAATTACAAGTCTAACATAGCTAACAGAGAACCAATTTAAAGGGAGAAAACCAAACTCATTCACAATAAAGCACTTTATTCATAACAAACTTTTTACAATGTAAAAGATGAGAGCACTAATTACACCTTCTCAAATAATTTTCTTTATTGCACAAGGTAAGTAAGTAAGAAAAAGCACAAAAGAGACAGAGTATAAATTCACTTTGAGTAAAAAAGTAATACATCAAGGACCAAAAAATCGAGGGAAATTAGGGAAAAACAACAAAAATGACTCAGATTGACAGTCTTATATTATTTGCTAATCTGAATGACGATATTGACAACATATGCCAGAAATACTCATGGTATTTCACATATCATCAGTTCCCAAACCCAGCGGAATTGACAGTAAAAATCTTTCTAGTCATAAGCCCTCATCACCTCCATTCTTAAATTCTAGAAGCAAGCTTAGCAGCTTGCTCTGCCACAAAACTTTGACACTTTAACATTAAGAGGCAAGATGAGATTTTAAAAACAAACATGTCGCAAAGCATTGGTAAAGATTTCCACAAGTAAAAAAGAAACAATAATTGAACCCTTATAATGAAACAACAAATATGTCAGTTTATAAGCAGAAACAGCCCATTTGAGCGTGGCATGATTTCTTTACAAAACTCAACTAAATTAACCATTATTCTTTAATTTTAAATGTTAAACATTAAAACTCTTTCAAACACCTTGTTAACTCCTCTTCATGTGAAATGTTCTAACTCCTAATATACAACCCAAAAGCCAACTAATGTATCCTGCAACCCATATTGCAGCATCAATTATATGACAAATTTTCATCACTTCATGGATTGATGATAAAATGTGCATAGTAAGGAATAAATAAATGATTGAGTCTTGAGTCTGAATTAATTCAGTAATGAAAATGGATCTGGCAAGAAGCCACAACTTAATAATTGTAATATGCATGGCTACATTGTGCTTACAGTCAGACTTAAAATGAAAACTCCAACAAGGCCGATTGTATAAAATTTGGTCCAGTACTTTTTTCTAGGATTTCAAGTCTGCAACAAACTTTGCTGAAACATTACTCTAGTCACTTACTGACACCTGGTAACATTTTAAAAACCCTTCCCACATGATGGTGCTCTGAAAGCAATCACGTCATGTACACAAGCAACCTAGAGGTGCAATTTTTTTGATATTTGAATTACACAAAGAAAAAGGCATTAGGTCCTGGCTTCAATATTTTCTTAGATGTCTAATTTCAAAATTCACATGAGCTTTCGCTGTAGAAAGAAACCAAAAACATGAACCATCCACAGAAATCTGTAACAAACTGCTAGAACAGTGGTAAACAAAAATATCAGAAGGGATTCCAACTGCTTCTATAAAGCTATACAGATGAATGGGATCAAACTGATGAGAAACAGCGCTGATCCAGGAAGCAGGGAATGTAGGTAAACCAATGATGCATGTGCAATTTCACCAGTCTTCAAGTAGATAGTGGAAAGTGCTAGGTTTTCAGTCATCTGACACCTTTAACACATACAACCACTTTCAGAATCCTGCTGTTCATTTTGCTGGGGTGCTTGCGTCTGGAGATCAACAGCTGCACAGAATTAAGTTAAGGGAAAAGAATGGGAAGAACAAGTTGTCACCAAAGAAAATCCAGAGCAAACACAAACCAAATTACAAAAGCCGAAAAGGAACATTGTAAGCTGCAGCAGCTTTAAATGCATGCATAAGATCCTTTTCAAAGCCCAAATCATGATACAATGGAAGCAATGGATGAAGTGACGACACAGATTTGTCTCCACCATGCAACAGAAATAATCATGCTCGTAATGAGGTAACACTTATTCATGCTTCAACAGCAATAATACACATGCAGAAGCAATAGGAACAAAAATTTCAATTGGGGCACAACAAGACACATGCATCAAAACATAAATTTTATAAACTTCTCAATATGAACAGTGTAGAAAGCATGTACGTTGAGATAAGATGAATAAAAACAGTAAATAAAAACGTTGAAAGAATGTATTGTATTTCAACCAGTAGTATTTAATTAACATAGATGCCACAATGACTGGTCAAGTCATAGGTAGTAGCGAGTAAAATTGTTAACAATAATTTAAGATCACTCTTAGTCAGAGTCTTCTTTTCATTTGGTCAGTACACAAATCCATCACGGTCCCCACGGGTCCCATCACTTGGTTCCCATAAACTTAATAAACAAGATCAAATCGTTACTCAATTAAATTTTTTTCTATAAAATTTGATTTTGTGATGCTAAGACACATACAAAAGAAAGCAATAGTTTTGAATGGATTACTTTACATGTTACAACCCATTTTTACAGCTGAACAGCACTCCTTGGGTTAAGTAGGGAGTGAAAAAAAATGTCTGGCTCAATAAAAGTACCAACAAAGATCACAGATTTTATATTACAAGTAAAAGAGGGTAATCATACATAGAGGACAGAATGTATAAGCGAGTAAATGCACTCAAGTTTGAGTTCAATGTTACAGGATGCATAAGTAACACATGCAGGTTCAATAAAAAAACCTGATTTAAGTTTAAAAAAAAATAAAAATAGTAATCACCAACAACCATGTGAACCTACCAGAAGTAACTAAAATGTTATCAAGAATTAATTAAGGGTAAGATGAGCACTGAGTTGAGTTGATTGAATCCAATCAACTATGCAACATTAGGTTTTGAGATTTACTCTTTGATTCATGTTGCTCATGCATTGAAAGTATATGGAAATTTGCTTTAAAAGTGTAATATATTGCAGTCTTCACAAAATGAAGTTAAATCAAAACAGATAACAAATTAAAACCAAAACTTCCCTCCTTGAAGGACAGGGCAACTACAGCAAGTAGATACATTTTGAGCTGAAAAAAAATGAACCAAATACTTGATAAAATTACGGCATAATGGAAACCATTTGTTCATAATACTACTGGGAAAATGTTTCCATATACACTAATGGATGGCACTAACCAGTGTTGGCATAAAAGCAGGCAAGACCTTAGTCCAAACCTTAGTGGCAGGCTGTCTCCTTGCCTACTACGAGAGTTGTTCTTGCCACTGCAGCTGCCTGGAGTGGCTAGTAGATAGTATGAGATACAACCCACTGCCCACTGGTTCGTTTAGACTGCTTTCGGCCTCATTTTCTGGCAACACTGACACTAACTGAACAAAGAGATGAAAGTAAAAAAAATATGCAGCCATTGAAAATTAGTTCAAATCTAAAACAGCAGTCAAAAGCAAAGCATAACATTAGAAACCATTAAATTAAAAACGCTCTATACCTGAATTAGAAGGGTGGGGTCTTAATCTTGTCAAAATATGAGGCTTATACTATGAATGTGCAGGGTAGAGGAATAAATATTTTCAGTTCCTCCACATGTAGCAAATAAATGCATACAAAAAGCAAACCCCCTTTACTTCCTAAAATCCAAGAGAGGCAAATCTCATGGGAAATATCATCTCTTGACTGTTTGAATTAAATTTCTCAAGTAAAAGTGACCAGCATAAGCACTGCTGATAGCAGCAGCAACAGTGCACAGGTTAAAAAAAAATAATTTCTGAAATGTTGTTGAGTGGAACACTTACCAGTACTCCAAAGCAGATCTCATTGATTACCCCACCCCTCCCTCTAAATGGACACCTCATTACATAAACAACATTGGTGGTTAAATCATACAATTGTCAAACAGAATTAAGGTTCAAGCTAGGAAGTACCCGCTGTAAGTCTTTGGCTCAACTGGGCTTAAGTAGAATTTTCTGGTCTAATTAAAACAAAATGGTTAATGCCACATGCACAGGTCAATCACATGCACACTGCTTGTTTTACCTTTTAAATGCCAGTCACTTCTATAGTATTTCCTTCCTGACAAGCTTAATACTATTATGTGATGATATGAATAAATGATCAATTTTTTGAAGGCAAAAGAAAACAGATTTCAGCAAAAAGGTACAAAGAAAACACTGTCTCAAAACTTCTAACGAGATATTCACACAAATACATGAATCTATATATACATACATCAATACACATAATATATATACTCATATATAACATCCAACATTATAAAACGGTATTCAATAAATAGTACTCTTTAAAAAACAATCTACAATGTACCTCTCTACCACTAGCTGCTCAATCAAAAGCACAACAACATCCCGAGCCAACGGGACAAATGGAAAGTAATAACCCAGAAATGAGAAGGGGAAGGGGGGCCAAGTTGACAGTAGCATTTAGGTATTTCACAGTTCATAAAGTTCTTCCTGTTCAGCATGCACAGCCGCCATCCTGGTTTCTGGGTTCATTAGGGGTGTCTTTCAGTATTACTTCTTGCACTAATGCAAAAACAAAATGAGTTAAGGAAAAAAAGAAAAAGAAACGCAACACAAAAGAAACTTGGAACAGAAACACAACGTAGATAGAAGTCCCAGAGAGGAAACGAAGGGCCAAAAGAAACATCAGTTGATGGATTTGTTTCGTAAAGACTAAAGAGTTCCAGATTAATCTAAAAGTTCAAACCCAATAAGTTACAGAAATAAAAACGAAGCTAAGAGAGTACACATGTAAACTTCCCATGAGATTTTATTTTAAGAGAAGCTACACAAAAATGCAATTTTCCCCCAAAGCATAACCAATTATTACTAAATAGAAATGGAATAGTAACTTTCATTGATTAAGGGAGCAAACAACTATGAAAGTATGACAAAAGATAGAGGGAAAGGAGGGGGGGGGGGATTTTTAATTGAATGGTTTCTTGGGTGCCGTAAAAACAAGAGAAACAGAAAGAGAGAGAGAGAGAGAGAGAGAGAAAGACTCAGACAGACAACAAAGACCACAACACATCTTTGCTTGCTAATCATTCCAAGGAGAATTCACTATGGTCCAATATAATAGTCACACTGGAGTGACAAGGAAGTTATCAAGGCCTACATTCAAAATCAAACTTTAAATAACCTCATGCATGTAACAGACTTACAGAGAATAAAATATTTTGAACAAATAAAAGCTCAAAGTGTAAAATAAACAATTGGAAAATAAAACGGGATATTTTAAAGACAAGCAGGAACATAATAATACTCACTTGTTACATGCATACTAGAAAACTTAAATGCCATAAAGCAGAAAAACTGATCAGAAAGCCAAGCTGAAAAAAAAGTTTAAAGCTTGATATTTCTGAAATTTCTGGCTAGGCACAAATAACGTTGACAGCCATAAGCAACTAAATAAAAAAACATTGATTTAGCAAGCAAAGTTGTAATCGAAAAGTTTGTCTAAATTTGCCAAACAACATTAGTAATTTAAAAAGGATACTGTCTTCTGGTGGTTTATTTTCAGTTGAGTCCATGCCAGGCAATGCTGCTGCTACACGCCGGAAAAGCTACACATAAAAAAAAAGAACCACAGATCATAAGAAGGAGATATAACAAGGCACAATGAATCAGATGACATTATAATGGTTTACCTGTTTAACATTATATCCTGCCTTCGCACTGGTCTCTATGAACATCACATTGAGCTCCTTAGCTTTCCTTTCTCCTTCCTCTGTTGATACCTGCCTTTTCTCAGACAGATCTGTCTTGTTTCCAACCAGCATTATAATCACATCACTACCTCTTTCAGTCCTTACATCATCTATCCACTTGGAGGTTTGATGAAATGAGTTGGCATCTAAAACAAATAGAATGCAATACAATACAGATGTACAATGTACCTAACACAGCCATCAAAATCGATTAAGCTTACTGGTAATATCATAGACAACAATAGCAACAGTCGAATCCCTGATGTAGGAAGGAATAAGGGATCGGAATCTCTCTTGTCCTGCAGTGTCCCATAATTGCAGTCTTACCTGTTTGACAATAAAAGTTGGTTAAAAAGTAAGGCACAATACATAAAAAGAAAAGTCAAATAAAAATAAAGCACTCACTGTTCTGTCTTCAAGATACATTGTTTTGGAAAGGAAATCGATTCCTATTGTTGCCTGCACAAAACAATAAGTTCAGATTAAATAAAATCACATTAAGTCAAGAAAAATGTGTCAATGTGACATTTTTAACAACATACCTGATAAGTATTATCAAAACTGTCATACATAAATCTGGTAATTAAAGATGTTTTCCCGACTGAAAAAAAAACCCAAAGAAATGTGTTAGATCGCAGTTAAAAACAAAGGAAACTGAAGGGAATTTGCCACATATACATGTCACTACATCTGTTTATGATTTAATGATGAAGCCTAAGTTGACATTTCCACACTCCAAAATTGTTTCAGGGCATCAGTTGCTCAGATATTTAGTAGGCCAAAACGTCAACGTGATTGGAATGTAATGTTTACATTCTCATTGAAACATTTTGAAACACCACTTTCTTCTGATGCATATACAAAGTTTATAGGCCTGAAGTATACATAACCTGACGGGTTAGTCAAAGTGCCGTGTTCCGTTCAATAGAAGAATTAAAAGTTTTCGTGAAACACCAATTTTGTCGGGTTCGTAATCAGGAAGTCGCTCATTACGCTGATAGCCCAAGGATTCCACATTTCTTTCATCACAAAGTACCGACAGACGTACGGGGTTATGTCACCGACTTACCGCTCTGCTCTCCCAGGAAAACTAGCTTAAATTTCCGCAGAGGATTCCCAAAATCTCCGGACGACGACATTTTCCTTACAAGTGTAACAAACAATTAAAAATAAACTAAGCTCCCGTTAGAAATAAGCGAGAACACAGCATGAATCAGTCGCAAATGACAGCCACTCCTTACGTTCCGCCACGTTAGTGGGAGTCATACAACAGGCTGGCCAACCCCGCGCGCCGAAATCGCGAAGTGCGTGGGGCTTTTGCGAGGCCGCACAGTGCGTCCCGATTAGCGACTCAAAGTAAAGCGTTTCGAGCGCACCGTGTCACCAGAGGGCTCGCCCTTGCATCGGGGTTCGGACGAGGCTCCGCGGCACCACGGACGCGACACCGACGTCGTGCTGCAGGCCGGCAGGCTGGTCACACTGGCAGCCGCAAGTGATCTACTTTCCGGCCGCTAGGTGGCATTGAACCCGGCACCGCTACTCGCTACTCGGCGAGACTCGCGGTTCACAGCGCGGGGCGCAGCGGGTATCGCGGGCCCCCGCCGTCTGATGCCCAAGGGTCGTCTCGTCGCTCTGTCTCTCTCGCACCTTACGCCATGCCCCATGAGTGCGAGAGAGACAGAGCGACGGAAACGGCTCCCGGAATCAGTCCGCTGGGGGTACCCGCAGACCTGCGCACGGGATGCGTGGAGTGATGCGCGGGAGGATGAAGCATGAGGCACTCCGCATGCAGTAGAGTGGGCGATGCGGCGAAGCAGGCGAAGCGAAGGGAAAGCGCGGCGTGGAGTCTCGGCCACGCTCCGCCACGCTCGCTCCGCCAGCCAGAGCGGCATTTGCGTGGGCGTGGGCCCGCAAACGGGGAGGGCCGAGTCAAGCCGACTTCGGCCCGTCCAGCGAGAACGGGAACGGGAACGCCACTTCGGGGAAAGACCACTCCGAAGCGCCGCGCTGGGCAGGCAGCCCATTCGGCACGACACTCTGCTCGGCGATACCCCGCGCGCTCCCCTGGGAGGGTGGCGTCCAGAGTCTCTCGCGCGGGGAGTACACACGGTCGACTGGACACTGCCATCGACAGTCCTCAATCGTGCCGGGGAAGTCGTACCCGCCCCGCCGACCAAACGGGTTGAGACGGCGGTATGCCACGCGCGCGAGACTGTTCGTGTGAAAAGCTTGTCGAATTCAGAGCGGTGGAGATGGTGTCTGTTGTTCTTCGCCACTGGCAGCGCCTAGACAGGGCGACGAAAACGACTCTGGGAATCAGTCTGTAGTGCAGCTGCCCCAGGTGCAGACCGGCCAGTCACAGCGCGCCAAAAACTTGCGGCACTTTATGGAGGACGAAAACTTGCCATGGCTGACTGCTGTTTGTTTACGACCGCCGTTCTTCATACTGGGCGAATGGACAAGCGACCAGCGAGTCCGGCCCGCCGTGAACCCGGCGGAACCAGGGAGGGGTGTTACCGAGCCGCCTAAACTTCAAAATGCATTACATCAGCCCCAACCCTTTAGAAAAATCCATCTTCGTGTCGCCGCGATGGCCACCAGGAACAGGGCTCTGTCTCTCTCGCATCCCTGGCGGGCGGCTCTCGAGTGCGAGGGAGACAGAGCGACGTCGGCACTGCTCCGAGTCAGCCTGCAGGGCGGGAAGGGAAGCTACCGCTCGGTCGTCATCACCGCGTACAGGGTCGCAAGGATATTGCACGCTCTTTGAGTAACCTTCATGCAGAGGGACTGCCTTGAGTGGCGGGGCGTGGCGGGGCGGGGCGTGGCGGGGCGGGGCGTGGCGGGGTAGTAGTAGTCGCTCGCCGGGAAGGCCCGCGTAACAGGGTTGAATCTCCACGGCAGCTGCTCCGCTGTTCCAGGGAGACCCCACTTGATCACAAGACGCCCCCCTCCCTCTCCCCCTCCCTCTCCCCTCCCCCTCCCTCCCCCTCCCCTCCCCCTCCCCTCCCCCTCCCCTCCCCCTCCCCCCCCCCTCCCCCCCCCTCCCCTCCCCTCCCTCCCCCCCCTCCCTCTCCCTCCCCCTCCTTTCCACCGCCCCTGTCTTTCTTCGCCGGGCTGCGCGGGCTGGGCGTGTATCTTCGGGGCGGGCATCGGGGCGATATGGATGTGATGGAGCGGAATAGGGTGCCAAATGATGTTATAGCTCGCGTAATAGACAAGTTGCCTGTCCCCTTAACTTCAGTAATAACCCTTTATTAGAGCTAAGAGCCAAGTGCTCGGAAAGGGAGGCCGAGGACGACGAGGACGGACCGCACCGCGTCGCCTTAAGAGGCGAGGGGCGGGGCGGGGCGGGCGTCAAAAGACTTCTCGCACATCAAAGGTATTCAAATAAGGCGGCGGCGATACCCCGCGCACTAGAGTCGCTGGCGCCACGGTGCCTCTCGCGGGGAGTAGCGCCGGCAGCCTCCTTGTCTCCTTGCCGTCCCGGACGCGGCGCCGAACGAGCACATTCAGGGCGGAGCGGGTAAACGAAAGTGAAAAAAAAAGACATAGTCGTTTGGGCGGTGGCGGTAATCGAATCCAGAGCCCGGAGCCCCTCCACTCCACCGGATGTGATGTCGGGGTTCTTAGCGCGACACGATGAGGCGTCGAGGCGCCACAACTTACGCAGGCTTAGCCTGGCCGTGCCGCGCTGATATGGAATCGCTGACCTGTTCCGTCGCCGCTGCTAATTTGATGGCCCCGGCGACGTCCTTGAGCCCCTTCTTGACGCGCTGGCTGCGCTGCGGCGCGGCGGCGGCTCAGGCTCATCCAATACGAGTCGCTCTTTTTTTCTTATCGCGCCATTTTTATATCGTATTCAAATTGCGCGCGCGTTCTCGTGGCGCGAACGGTGGCGAATCGGAATGACGGGACTGCAGAGTCGGCAGACTCGGCAGCGAGCTTCCTGGCTGCCTGGTGGCGGGGCGGGGCGGGGCGCGTTTGGCGGGGAGTCCGGCGACGCCATGGAGACGGCAGCGGACATCGTTAGCGGGTGAAAGGATTCGCCTTTGCAGTGGTGCAGGCCGTGCCGTGCTGGCCCAGGCTGGCCATGCTGCAGTGGGGCGAGGCTTTGGTGCCGCCAAGACCCTCACTTCGATAATCGGGTTGCTGTCGAACGCGCCCCGGCCGGCCGGCCCCGGCGAGGCGAGCCCCGGTCGCCCCAAAGCTCTCTGAGATGATGAAGGGCGCCACAGTGCCGCAGGAAGTACTAGCGCTCCGGGAAGGTGTGCGGGGCGGCGAGGGGGTGCGGTCAATTAGCCAGGACACTGTATCGGTCTCCGAAGAGCCACACCGCAAGTGGCATGGCCCCGCCCCGCCCCGCCCCGCCCCGCCCTCGCGGGGTACTTGGCGCGGTCCACCACCTGCTGCCCGCGTCGGCCGCGTCGGCCGTGTCGGCCCTTCAGAAACATTACCGCCAAGGAAGGCGTCCTGGCCTCCTCAAAGCAGAGGCACCGCGCTGCCCGCGCAGCCGGCCGAAACTTTGCACGTTTTATGCGCCGCGGTGCCGGGCCGGACTTGGCCGGGCTTGGCCGGGCCGTAACTCAATCACTGAGGGAAATGTTTTGGGGCCACACCTAAACTTACAGCTGTGACAACCAATCTGTTTGGTCGCTGGGGGTTCAATTAAACGTTCGATTGCCACATTTAAATCGTTTAGTCGCACTACTTTAGTTGTGAGATATACTCTTTTTCTAACATGTCGTCTGTCTATTTTAGCCACTGCCACTAAATCAAATCTTGTTACAGTGACTGAATGCGATAAGATCTGACGATTGACTGTTTAGTCCTGACACATAAACGTAAACCGATGAAAAAACGACTCCAAAACGAGTGCTCGAACCACGGACCTTCGTATTACAAGTCCGTCGCTCTACCAACTCGCCCACCTGGCTGACTGAGAGAGGCCGGCATTGATGGGCCTCTTGGACTGACGAATGTGTGCGGACGCACCGAGAAAATGATAGCTCGCTCCCTTTCCTGGGGTCCCAAGTGTCCCACAGTCCATCTCCTGACAGCACAATAGTATACAAAGATACTATGCCAGGAGAAACTGGTTGCGCTACGGGGAGTTGAACCCCCGAACCCGGCTTCTTATCCAGCCTCCAGGCGCGGAGACCACTGAGCTACCGCACTGTTGAGAATATGGCGGAGCGCTGGGCGGTGGCAACGCGACTTCCGTGCGAGTGTCGCATCGCCAGTGTTTCGGTGCCACACCTAAACGCTTTAGTCGCGACTACTGACCATCGATCAAGCCTATGACTAAAGCCAGTTTAATCGAGTCCTTTCATGCTGACTATTATTGGCGGTTCAGTCACTCTCACTATTTAGCAGTCTTATTGTGATCATCGGCTGAACAGTTGCAAGGATTGAACTCGTGTAACTGTCGCCATTGGGGGGTTCCACAAAACACAGTTTTATCGTGAGGCACCGACCCCTTCTCTCAGTGATATTGAGGGAGAACAAGGCCGGGCCGGCCGGCCGCTGGTCGCGAATGCCAATGCGAATGCAAGCGGGAGGAAAAAAACAAGGAGATAAGTCGAACGGCAACATTATCTGCGCGTCCCATCTTGGCATACGATGTGCCTGGGCATCGGGGAAAGGGCCGAGCAAATCTGCCGTGAAACCGCAGACCCGAAGGCAGACCCGAAGGCAGCCCGAAGGCAGGGCCGTAACCAATCACCAAATCCCGGAGAGGACAAGTTCCTTTATCATCTTCTGTCCGGTCTGTTCTGGTCAGGGAGAGCCTCTTAGCATATCGCGGACCCCAGCAGAAAGCGCCAGCAGACTGATTCCGAATTTCGTCGCTCTGTCTCTCTCGCGCCGATAGGGCACGCCCCATGAGGGCGAGGGAGACAGCGACGGAAGAGACTCTATCGGCATCAGTCTGCGGGGTGGCCAAGGACCGGACCGACCGGACCGGACCGCGGGCGGAGGGCGGGGGCGGGGGAAGTCAACCAAACCACAGCCCCCTGGCGTGGGCCTTGCCACAGGGCGCAAGGGGATGTTCACCCCCTCCCTAATTTTTAACAGATGCTAAACAGGTGGAAACAGAAAGAGGGAGACAGCGTTTCACTTAAAATTGATTCTGACTATGGTCTGTGGATGGTCAAGCAGGAAGACAGTTGTTCCGAATCACAGAGGGCACGCCACTGCCAAACCCGAGCGGTAAGGTTCTTGTTCAATGAGCTCCGTCCTTCTTGAGACGCGCAATGAGGATAACGATGATGTTGACGAAGTCACAGAGCTGCAGAAATCACGTATAGCGAACTGTCTACTAAGCAGTGACCGACAGGCGAGGCCGCAGTGGTCCAGCGCGGGGCAGCGAGGGGGCGCTGGGCGTGGCGCTGGGAGGGCGTGGAGCCGTGGGGCGTGGCCGGGGACA